ATTACGTGAGCAGGTTAGATAGAATTTTGTGATCGACTCAACAATACTGTCGTCGGTTGAAAGCAATATTAAATTAAGCTTACTTTCTCACGGAGCCAGTCTTTCGATAACTGTGCGGACCTTTGAGAGCTGAAGTCTCCTGATTTAACCTATTCAGATGTGAATTCCCAACTATTTCATCAAGTTTGTCGGTACAAAAAAAGAAAAGATAGTAAATAAAGAAATGACTCCGAACGGATCTACGAGAAAATTATCTGATAATATTCTTGAAATGTTACTTTAACCATGTCAGAGAAACTGTAATTGAAATGTTAAAAGTCCTAACTATGGAAAATACGAAATTAATTCAAGAGGCAAAAGGAACAAAAAGTCGCAAAATTGAATGAATTTTCGCCAATTTGTTTCCTTAACTTTAGAACGAGAACTGACGAGATGTAGAAAGTCAAGACTGCCTTGATCTGAGTATGAATGTATTACAAATGCGACACAAACTCGGTGCCTAAATATTTCAGTAAACTCCTGCCCACTGGACTTCAGTAAAGGAAATCCGAGTAGAAAGCGGAGTATTCAGAACGTCAGTAAGCCCTGGCGTGATGGACAAAATGCTCCTAAGAAACTTGGAGAACTGATTACTGAAAAAAATATTGGCACCTTTTCTTCCAAAGTTGTATTATCAAAGATCATGTCCAGGGACATGTCTGTAACATCAAGAGGATTTGGGTATCGACAACAATGACACTTGCTTTGGATGTAGTCGAGGCTTAGCTTGGAAGCGAGGCAACTCCATGCTTGTTGTCACCTTGAAGGTTTATACTCCGTCGGAAATTCTCCAGAATGCAGGTGAGGAAACTGTATTGAAATGCACAAAATGAATATAAAGAGAAGCAGATTTTTACACATGTAGTGTTTAAGGAGTTAGACTTTCCACTGTCTTAGAAACAACTGCTGTTAATTCGCTGTTTTCAATGTTGGACGAGCAGTTCCACTTGCCATGCAGGAGATAACTTGTCTCTTGCATGGCACATGGGTTCACATGGCATGCAACAGCTGTGCATAGTCCGAGCTCTCTACGCTATGTAGAGAGCTCGGACCATGCAGAGCTGTTGTCTGACGAAACAGTTTACGTGTTAGGGAAGTTCCACCTACTTTGAACTTAGTTAAAATCGGCAATGAAATTGCTTGTTCGCAAGTGATGTAGACATGATGCTGATGCAATGTTTATAGGATAGAGCTCGCCTTTTAAAACTGAGACGGTTAGAACCTGTAGCTACAGTTAGCTGTTTTCAAAAGTAGTCAAAAGATACAAATTACTCAAATGTCACAGCGGTGGTAATAATTCCAGACAATGAGTTTCTATAGTAATTACATGAAAGTGACGGAATGGCTTAAAACTCCCTTGAATAAACTGCATTCCCTTCCGTTAATGAATGCATATTTATTTGTTTCATGTACAATGTAACAGTAGCTAACATGTAAGAAAGTTTTATGTTGATGTGAATCAAACAAGTGATACGCATCATGTAAAGTGGAAACCTGATTTCTCTTTAATGGTGTGCATGCGCATTACTGTGAAATCCTCTCTTTAATTAAACCTAAATTGCCGAGATATTATCCTGAGCAGCTATGAATATTTTCATATGGAATACTGCAATTTATGAAAAAGTGGAGAACTTTTGATCACATATTAAACAAAGACCCCTAATACATGTACCAACACACAGTACAGATTTGTCTCTTGTTGTATAATATCTGGAATTGTAAATGGAATGCAAGGTTTTAGTTTTAGAGGGTGATTGGTGAACTTTTTCAGAGGTAGGTAAGGATTGCTATGACTTAGCAGGAGTTTCAAATTATGGATAACCTGTGTACAGCTGCCGGCTGTCCTCAAGAAAAATCAGAGCGGCGTCTGTGTGTAATGCAGGACATCTGACATGACACATAGAGCAAATAATGGAAATAGTCCTCCTCACTTAGGCTTTGCATGTCCTTTGCTATGTTCACAGGTATTATAGAGAATGTTCACAATAATTTTGTTGCCATAAAATGAGAACTGTTTACCTCTGTTAATTTGGCTTTTTAACCTCCACATTCTTAGTCACAATAATAATATGTAACAAATTTCCATCAACAGATTTCTCTGAGGAGCTCTCTAGATACTTTTAAGAACAACCAATAAAATTTGAAGCACCTAGTTCAGCAATTAATGTCACACTTATTACTGAACTGCAAACGATCAATGAACCAATCAGGTTTGGGAAAATCATGTGCCCAGGCTTGGACAAAAATTATTACAGATGCCCTCCCCCTGTTTGAGTGTTTGAGAGTTATTGACGGTTTGAGCGATTACGGGTGAATTAATTGATTATTACAGTGATCAAGTAAAGCAAATCTTAAGACAATGAGGTTTGTTTTGAGTTAGGGCCCTGTTACATGAGGTAATTTCTCTTGTAATTTGTGTAGCAAGTTGGTTGTGACACCAGTCACAAATTGAAGAACAATAAGTAAGATAGCCTTTATCAGCAAATTTGAGAAATCAAGGCCTGTTCAACTAGGTATTAGGATTCCAAATTGTGCTCCATAAACAGTGTTGTAAGATGATTGCATAACAAAATATGAGCAATTGTGTGTGGCTTTTACCATGGAGAAAGGCAATTTAAGAACTTTTCTGACAAGACTGACATCTTGTCCAGTCAGGAAAGAGTCAGTCAAGACAACAACATTATACATGTACAAATAGTAGGTTGGCAGTCCATTGATAATACAGTTTCAATGGGCAGGTGTATTATTTAAAATTAATGCTATCATTTCTGTGCTGTATCTCTTCAGAAACGTATCAAGTTACCTGTGACAACCCTCAATGAACATATAATCTGCAAGTTGTGCAATAGTTATCTGGTTGATGCAGCAACAATCACAAAATGTGTACACACAGTGACATGTAAGTATAAAATTATTATGTTTAAGTAATAATCCCCTAAAAGAAGAGAACTCTTAGAAGAAGCAAAATTGAAGAGGTATAATTTGTTTTACCTTTGGTTTGGAAACTCCAAAGCAGAAACCCTTTGAAAGTAGGGAATGCATATACAGTTGGACCTGGCTAATGCAAACTCAGTTATTGCAAATTTCCTGTAATTTCAAATTCAAAACTATTTCCCTTGGATCTGTCCTTCAGTCATTCACTATCCAATCCGGCTATTTTGAAACTACTTCAAACTGTACTTCAAACTATAGTGAAACCTGTATTAAGCATCTTAGTGCCTGTGGTACGATGTACTAAGAAGAAATTTTAAAAAATGAATCCTGTTCTGGGCATGGTATAGTCCGCTTAATACAGGGTGTCTGCTCTAGACAGGTTCAGTGATAATTGCCCCCACATGGTTTTGGCCCAGAGGCCAAAACCCGAGGAGGCATCATTAGTACCCCCCGCATATAAAGATGCAATGGTATATAATAGTAGATTTCAAAGATCCTGAAGATGGATTTTGGGATAAAAACAACTCAGAAGGTATTGTAAGTAATTCTGAAGTACCAGGAAATCTTGATGTTCGAGGCGAGTGTCGCTTTGCTCGTGTTCAGTTGTGACTAAAATACCCTTCCGATCACCAGTTCTACCTTTGCATGTCGTTTTGTCGGGTTGCTTATTTGTGTTGAGTAATCTCATGTGGCATAGAGCTCGTGTCACGGCTGGGTGACTTGGTAGGAGTCCAAACGTTAATGTAAATGTTTTGCAGCGTTTTTGTTGAGGACGAAGAACCTGAGTCTAATTTGCATTTATGGAGGTGACAGTAATGCGATACTTCTGTTAATAACCTGAGTATCAGGCCTCTCTTAGCAAGAGGGTAGGGGTAAGGCTGGAGTAGGGGGGAATTGCAGAGAGAGGCCTTTTCTTTGCCGGGTGCTTCCTTCTCCCACCCCGCGAGTAAGAAAAGCCTGATACTCGGGCTATTCTGTTAATGTCTTAGAAAAAAATCATGACAGCAAGTTCCAGATGATTTTCTTAACTGCTATTCTGCTTTCGAGACATGTTTGCTTGTATAACAAGAAAAATGGTTTGTTTCATCACCAAATGCAAACATGAGAGTGGTTTGACGTAATATTTTGTTTCTCAATAATTTTTTAACCTTTTTTCCTTAAGTTTTACTGAGTGAAATTTTAGTAACAGAAATATTAGTTCCCATGCATGAAGGATACCTTTTTTGTCACAAAGTCTTTTTGTGTCCTTTCAAACAAAAACTCACTGCTGTTTGGATTGGAATGAGTTAAATAGAAAGTGTTGATTTAGTTTACTTAGTTGAGTGTTTGGATAATAACCATGATAAGATGCCTAAGTTATAGGAACATTATGAGTGATATAGTTTACAAAAAAAAAATGATATATAAGTTTTAGTTCATACAATAATGTTCAATTGTTTTCAATTAGTTGAAATAAAAGAAAGCAGGGGCAGCTTTCGTAATAACTATTACTAGTAGTTAATTATTAAGTAAACCTGTTTGTGACACAGTGTAACACAGTGTAAGCGCAAAGACTGCTCAAAGCACAAATGTGCAGTCAGTCAATGTATCAATCTGGAATAATCTAGTTAGCTTTAAAAAGTCATCACTGAACAATGTTAAAGGTGTCTGAGCTAAGCTTTTAGAAGTGAAAAGCCCTTGAAGTGTCCGCTTATTGCAGGTTTTGTGCAACAAAATGGCTTAATATTGGTGTCTGCGTCTGCTTAACAGAGGTGTCTGCTGAATGCAGGTTTAATTTACAGTAAACCTGGGAAGAAAATTTAGGGACTCAAGCTGGTGTCCACTTAATTTAGAGGGTGTCCGCGTAATATGGGGTCCACTTAATATAGGTTTCAGTGTACTTTTGGTTTCCCCTGAGAGTTCAAAATAGTGGAATTGAACCTTAATACATTATTTGACTTTCTGGAAGACAACTGTGGAGGACAACAGATACCATATGTACCAGTGTTTCAGCCAGAAAATTTTACTTGAGGGCCAAAGTGGCCCTTGAAGATTGTTTTTAGGGGCCAATTTTTTAGAAAAGGGGCCAATAAATTGAAAGCTACAGAAGGAAAAAATGCATCAGGGTACCAAAGAAAATAAAGTATTTTATTAGGATCTATGATAAAAGTGTTTCTACTCGATAAAGTTTCTTTTGAGTCAGACACTAGTATGAAGGATCTGTGCATTACAAGAGAACAATTTATAGGCATACACTGTCGTTATAGTCAATGATAAAGGGCTTGCAGTGCATTATAGGGCGACTGGAAGTTTTCCGATGTGAGAGAATCAATACGGCATTGAGCAAAACAAAAGGATGGATGGACTTCTTTTCTTATGTCGAATGTATTAGAACCAAGACTTTGTGAGAACATTACTGTTATTTATCGTCAACACAGAGAAATGTAGTCGCCATTATGGCGACTAAACCAGAATTTTTAATTGCGAAAGATGAAATGTTAGTTGCATTGGCGACCATATTGCTTACAATTTCGAACCCTGGGATGGCTTTTAAAATACTATGCCTGTGTTAAGCCTGCAAATCATTGTTTTTTGTTAGTTTGCAAGAGTTGTCTGGTGAGACACATTGAGCTTGTTAATCGATGTCCAACATGTAACAGTCTCGTTCATAAATCACAGCCACTCTATAACATCAAGTGGGATAGATTGTTTTAATTACTAGTAAGAGTAGTTTTCACTTGAGTGTTGAATGGTAATTGGCTGTGCATTTCTATGTTGCACATGTACATGTACGTGACTGGCTTAAAAAACTTTTTGTTCATACATACATACATACATAAACTTTATTTGAGTGTCGGAGTATTTAGCTAAAGATAACTAATTGGGGACACTAACATAAATGCAAAATATAAAATAAAAAATATAAAATATAAAATATCACTGGATTGTCTGTGTCCTTTGTGAATGGTCTTGAAAACTGCTCTGGTACATGTATTACACCTGTAATAAATAAACTAATTAAAGTTGATTAACAGTTATATACATTTTGTACCAGTATGTGGTAACACAACAGTGATTGATGTGTGAAGTTGGGGATACTAGTGTGTAATTTATTAGGCATTCAAATTTATAGCAAGTGTCAATACAATGCTTGTTTAAACAAAATACAGCTGTACATCTAAGGTACAGTACATGAATATGCTAGCAAACAGTTTAAGTATTGATAGCCCCAGAAAATTTCAAATCATATACGTAATTCCTATTCAAAACAGTGAATAACTTATAGAGTCCATTTAATGTGCATCAGAGTGTGTAATTATATATAAACTTACAATTAGTTCATGTGCAGACTTGTTCATTCATTCAGAATTAGTTCATTTTTTGGGCAATGTTGATTTATTTTGATTCGTTTATTGCAGACTTGATAGGACCATGCAAGATATTGTTTACAAACTTCTTCCAAGGGTGGAGAGAGGTTAGTTCACAGAATGACTTGGGGATGTGTTATGTTACAATTGATGTTACCTCATCTGACCTGGAAAAAAGTAGTTCAATATTACTTTATGCTGCCAGTGGTTCAAGAATAATTTATACACTTGACATGAGATTAAATTTTGGTCAGGTAAATGACTTAATTCAAACCTGCAACTAATGCTGACATGAGGATATGAAACAATGTTACAATGTAGCAAACCAATGTTATATTTGCAAGTACCAGTATCACATCACTGTGTGTATAGACATATTTATTTTAAAATTGATGGCACAAACAGGTATCTTCAAAGGCATTCCTTATTTTCTTCTAGAGGAGAAGAGGAGGGAACGCAAGTTTTACAAAGACAGAGGAATTCCATATCCGGACCCTAAAGGTACCATACATTCACATATACGCTGTAACAACTGGATTCTAATGTTTAAACTTAATTCTCTTTTCTAGTTATTTTGATTGCTTAATTCNATTTTGGTTTACAGTCTACATGTATGTCCCTTTCATTTTGTTTGTTTGTTTTGAGGGATACATTATACTGCATTTCATGAAACATAAAACAGCTGACCATTCTGAAACAAACAAAATTGATCATACATTTCATGGATTTTTTATTCTAGCTGTTTACCACCATGAATTAATGACAAAAAACAGATGAGCAATGAAGGAGCAATAGAGTGTGAGTGCTCAGTGTCACTTCAATCCATTCTCGTACCACTGTTTTATTCCATTGGGGATTGAAATCAAATAAACTTGGTACCAAGATCACAATCAAACTGGAAGATTGTGATTCTTTAGTTTTGATACAAAGTCAATCCCAAAAGAAACTCAGCATAACTTATTTGGCAGGAATGTCTAACATTTAATTTCTTCGCTATCAAAAACAGCTTGCCATCACCACCACTCATGGTGACATGTGTGGTGATTTTACTCCCCTTAACTCTAATTTACTTCGTATGGCAACCAAAACCAGCGCAGCCTGGAGCCCTACTACATGTAATGAAGCATTTACATGTACTGAACCATAATGTTTCTTTTTCTGAAATTGCATAACACTCCTGGATGGCGATGATGATGTTTTCCTAAATTACACCTGTCAAAACAAACAAACAAACAAACAAACAAAAAACAGTACCTTACCCTGATGCATATTAATATTTTATACAATTAATTTAATGTATTTTTGATAATTTCAGGGATGAAAATAGCAGATTAGAAATAGAGGTAAGAATATTTCCTTTTTGGAGCTATACAAACCTACTCCTTATCCCCCATCCATCGTGCCTGGTTTGTAGCAAGCACAGTGATTATACTGTGTTCTACAAGTACGTTTTTAATGGTAAATTGTCATAAACAGACATTGAGCCTTCATCATCAACTCAAAACTATTAAAGGTCAAGTCATTGACAGCAAGAATCATGTTGAAAAACATGCATGGTTCTAAATTTGTTGCATTTTAGGTTTGCCGCCGATTTATCCTGTCAAGCGGAACTTGATTTACAATGTACTCATGCTTTCATACTGAAGGATTATTCTACTTATTCAAAACTAAGGTTTCCAATTTCCTTTCAGTCTGGATGTATATGTTTGTCTGTAATGACTGTTAGACTTTAATCGGTACATTACTATGTACAACTACATGTAGATGGTGTGTTTTGTCATTATATATACACATGCACATCAGATATAAGCATTAATAAGCTATATGCTTGTTTCTCTTTGTAGCCATTGCAAATGAAATTCATAAGGTTATCAACACAAGTCACTATTGGACTGATTCAGAGATTTTTGGCCAGTAAGCTACACTTGGAATCTAAAAACATGGTAAGCATTAAGATGTAACTCTCAACAGTTGATCTTTTAGCTCATCAACCAGCCTTTGCTGGGAGGCTAGACTACATGTATGTGCAAAGTTAACTTGTTAATTTCCCCTGAACATCTGTGAATTTCTTTTAGAATAAAGCGTAAGGTTTAGTCTGCATGTGGTATAAGTCTCCTATCTTACTGGAACTTAGCCCGTGTTCCATAGCATTTTAAGCGTGTGAGAGTATTATGTTCTACTCATGTTGTAGTCTGGGCGAGGGAATAGTACTGAAAAGGACTGTCTTTGGTGATTGATGTTTCAACAAACTGAACAGAGGTCATTTTCACCTGGCACTCAAATGATCCCACCAGACAAACTACTGCTACCCATGAGTTCACCATTTACTAAGTGTTTCTACTCCTCTTTTCATGGAATGCTGCTAATCAAGGTTAACAATTAAGGTAATTCAATCGAAATTGAACTCCAATAGATTTTCTTTCAAATTTTACATGTTGGCTGCTTACAATGTTAAATAATAAGGGGTCCCAGTATTTATTTAAGAGCAGGAGGACCTTCAATAAACCCCATAATTCCTTAAATTATCAGCTCTCAGAAACGTTTTCATTTAAACCATTTACTTTACCTTTGTGAGAGCACAAAAAATAGGGACAAAGTTAAGCTAGAAATACAACAATGAATGTACATGTATTGCATCAATGTCA